GTAAAAACCCATGTCCAGTTTATGTTTGTTTTTTGTTGTTTTTTTTTTGCGTATTTTATATTTTGAAAACTGAAAAATAGATTTTGATCTAATTCATAGAAAAAATTTGAATAAAAAACACTGATTAAAATTTTTAATCAGGACTCAGCACCAACACTTACACTTCTAACAATGTTCCTGTGAGACAAAATATGAAAACTTTTTTATCAGAGTATATGGTAAATGGACTGTACTTGTATAGCACCTTTCTATCTAACCAGGACACTCAAAGCTCTTCAATCTGTGTCCTCATTTATCCATTCACACAGCACTCTATTAGGCAATGGCGCCKGAATAGGGGAGGCCAGGGGGCCATTGGTCCTTCTACTTTACGGCCCTGCCCATCAGCTCGTCCCATGGACCATTTACAGGCTGCACCCAACGCTGACAAGTCATGACTGATGTCTCTGTGTCTACCCACAGACAGAGGCACAGACAAAACTGACAGCCTGAAGATCGTCTTACCTCTCTGACCAAAGTTTTAATGTTTCTGTGAACGGCTTCATGTCCGATACCACCAGCCTGACTTGTGGTGTACTCCAGGGTTCTGTTTTGGGACACATTCTGTTTATTCTTTATATTCTCCCCCTTGGACAGGTGTAGTGTCCAAGAGTGGGGGCTCTTCTCAGGAATGCACAGATGTGGTGTCTCTTGTTTTTCCAACTTCAGAGCTCGGCACATATTACCATATTAGGAAGGAGGTATACCGTGACAAAATTTATGGTACATSTGTGAAGCCTATAAAGAGCCTTGTACGCCCCCACCCTTGGCCTTCATTCTCCATCTTTCTTACCTGGTGAATCATTTGGCATTGAAGGCCATAATTTGGTTTTTGGCTGTAATCTCCTGGACTGCAAAATAAAGATTCTTGCTGTTCAACCAGCCTGTTTCAGAGTTCTCTCTTCATTGAGCAACAGCAGTTCACTTGAACCAGAAGATGTGGTTATTTCACCTCACAGGTAATCCAGAAATTCAGAAATGTGCAATTTCAACTCTATGCTGATGATATCCAACTTTATTGCTCATTTAAAGAA